TTCAAGACTAATTGTATGAGAAACTAACTTCTTAAATTACGTGGTATAATAGAGTTATGTTCAGGTAAATGTCATATCTTCAGCGAGCGTCAAGTGTGGGTTTCAATGACCTTAAACAAGTGGTAAAACATACTGTCATCTCTGTTTGTTTAAAGAGAATGAAAGAGACGCAGCACGTTTTTGTGCGAGCTTTTCCGTAGGAATAATCGTATGACGGCTGACACTTGTCCTTGCGTCGAGCGTGAACTTTGTGAAGTGGATACTTCCAGCGTCTTGTATCGCTTTTGCCCTTCAAATCCCGACTGAATACTAATTCGTACATTATTCTTGAGAATGTGGCATTTTTATAGCAATAACATTTGTAAAATGAGTAGCTTTTATTCATCACTAACTATTACCCGCGACTCAGACCACGGGAATAAAAAAAACAAAAGCAAGTAGCCTATGTCTTCTTTCAGACTTAATCTACATTTATGCCAAATTTCATCGAGATCCGTTCAGCCGTTTAGGTTACAAACTCTATCAAACCATTCATCCATCTAAACTTTCGCATAAATTCGCAGCAATAATCTTTAAATTTGATGAAATTAAACAGAATAATAATATGTCACCATCAAAATGTCATAAGTACGTAATTTCCTTCAATTATGTTTTAGGCATTTTAAGATAGAAGTTAGTAAATTATACTTTCAATTGATAGTTCTTTAGAAATTTCTATTTGCATGTCATTGTATTTTTCCTTAACCATAGCTAGTAGTTAAAAAATCTGAGCATATTACAAATGAATTTGCGAGTAAGTGCTCTATTCCAGTGACTAAATTACATCAATTCGTCCCTGAACGAAGCAATCCACTAATGGATCTTGATATACGAGACTTTAATGGAAATATATTGCGCTTTGAGAGCCCATTTGTAGTTACTAACTAGCGGCCCTCCCTCTACTAAATGATATCAAAACCTAAATAGTTCTAATTTATTTTTAAAACGAGCTTTCGCCCGCGACTTTGTCCGCGTGGAATTAAAAAAAAAGTGTAGCCTATGTGTTCTTCCAGACTATCCTCTACGTCTATGCCAAATTTCTTCGAAATCCGTTCAGCTGTTTTGGCTACAAAATCTAACAAACATCCATCCATCCATCTCAACTTTCACATTTATAATATTAATATGATGAAATCTTTTAAGAAGTTAAAAATTTATCGTTAAAATGATTGTAATGCACTTTCTGAATAATTAATTAGGCGTAAGAAACGAAGAAAATATTTTTAATTTATCTTTAATTTATTATTACTTAAGCTTCAACGTTAATTTAATACTTCTATTATTAATTAAAAACAATAATGAATTCGTTAATGTGATACTACTTTTATTAAGTCATTTAAAATTAAATACTAATTTTTAAACGTATCCTCTATACGTTGTATTTTGAAACGAATTGCCTCAAAAACTACTGGAACGAATTCAATAATTCTTTTACCAAATGAAAAATACATTATCATAGATTAACATAATTATATTCTTTACTATTTTTTTTACTTCACGCAGAAAAAGCCATTAATAAAAGCTTATACATTATACGAAGGTTCTATACAAAAAATGAGAAAAGAATGAGAGCTTATTTAGGATATCATGCGAGGGATTTACGTAAGGCCTTTTTTATTTGTGAGGCTTTAGGTTATCGGTAGATTGACATAAGCTTACAATAATAATGACATATCCTTTATAGAACTCTAGCTTTCGCCCGCGACTCCGTCCGCGTGGATATAACGTTGGATATAAAAGTAAGTAGCCTATGTATTCTTTCAGACTATCCTCTACATCTATGGCAAATTTAATCGAGTACCGTTCAGCAGTTTAGGCTGAGAAACTAACATACATCCATCCATCTAAACCTTCGCATTTATTATATTAGTAAGATAGTATGTATATAAACGATTTTTTTTATAATGATAGTCCATCTTACTTCTTACTAATATTATAAATGAGAAAATTTAGATGGATGTTTGTTAGAGTTTGTAGCCTAAACGGCTGAACGAATCTCGATGAAATTTGGCATACACGTAGAGGATAGTCTGGAAGAACACATAGGCTAGTCACTTTTGTTTTGTAGAACTCTGCGCGGAATGAGTCGCGGGCGAAAGCTAGTGTTTTCTAAAATGTTATTGAGTTACCAGCATTTATGTTATTAGGTAATAAAGGAAACCAACATAGCTCTGTTAAGAATTATACGAGTCGAAACTCGGTCGAAGAAATGAATCGTGCAACGCAGTATTTCGTAACTTCGCTGAATAACTTCTTGAAATAAATTTAAAGTTGCAAACTTTGAGTTCACTGGAAAACTTTATCCTTAGAGAATTTATTGACTTGCTTATGTAAAGTTCCATTTATATGAATAAAATATGCAAGAAATACTATAAAGTGTTTTCATTCAAAATTAGTATTAAACCGTTTATAGTCCGGTTAGCATATCTGACCCGGGTTATACGTCAACTACATTATAATACTGGCGCATATATTATTATCTTTTATGCTATTTTATAAGCCCAGGAACGAGGGACGTTTTCCATCCAAATGTACTGATGACGTAGTGCAAACAATAGAAAGTCGTTGGATGCGGAAAGCGAAGGACCGCAGTCTGGAAGGTTTGGGAAAGGTTTATGTCCAACAGTAGGTAGATTAAGGCTAATGATGATGATGGTGATGATGATGATGATGATAATATTATCATCATGTGCACATATCACATGTTTTATGTCGGCACTAACCACGACCACCAGGCCAGATATATTTTTTTAACATATAAATTCTGATTATATCGCTTTATGTTGAATTTAACGTCGTCATAATTGATATTAATGTTCCCACCTTTGTGGTGCCGGTTTTATTAATAAATATTCATTACTTCTACTCCTTAATGGAGGAAAAAAATGTTATCCTTTAATATTACGAATCTCACTAATATTATAAATGCGAAAGTTTACGTGTATGGATGTATAGACATTAGTATGAATGGCCCAACGGATCTCGACGTTTGATAGATGTTGAACATATAATGATGGCAGAAGGAAGGAAGAACGCATAGGCTAAATCTTTAACTCCGCGTGGACGGAGTCAACGGCAAAAGGTAGCACCTTCTCGTTCTGTATAGGAAACAGACCATGTCCATTTTAATACAGACGAATAGATAGACTTCCATGTAAAACGTCCAATTACTACGCAGTTTCAAAATGTTGATATCATTAATTTTTGAGTAACTAATTTCACGTTAAAGCAATATCATGTTTACTTTCCATTTGCGTACTGTTTTGCTTATATCGAAATAAACAAGTCTACCGCCTAAATAAACTCCGCTATGAACATACGAGGTCTATAAAATCATGCAAATACATTTAATATTTATTTGGTAAACAAACATTACACATTGAAACATGTTTAGAGAAAAAATATATTTTGTCAGATATTAGTTACATTTAATAAGTAGACCATCTTTGATAAATCACCAAACACCGGAATATTAAGAAAATATTTATAAGGAACTAGCTTTCGCTCGCGATTCCGCCCATGTGGAATTAAAAAAACCAAAACTGAGTAGCCTATGTATTCCTTCAGATTATCCTCTACGTCTATGGCAAATTTCATCGAAATCCGTTTAGCCGTTTAGGCTACAAAGTCTAACAAACATCCATCCATCTATCCATCCATCTAAACTTTCGCATTTATAATATTAGTAAGATTTGTTATATGAAAACCAAATTTAATCGATTAGAAACGAAAGCTATCTCCATGAAATTGAACGCGATCTCTGACGTTTATCCAATTTATATATTTACAGCACTCAGGGTTAAATCGTCCTTTAGTTTAGATTTAATTTTAAAAACATACACTAAGGGACACTCTTAACGATTCTGAGTTTATCTATAAAAGCTTTTGTTGTAATAAAATCTAGAAATAGGTAAAGCGAGCACACGAAAGCTTAGTTTAAATACCATTTGTGTCCATTAACGGCTCCAGTTTGTGTTCATTAGCTAATTGCCTGAGACTGACCTAATAAGGTATCTTGTACTTTATTGCTCTCTCTGTCTTCATTTACCTTGTAATTAATTATGTAGTTGTCCTAATTGTCGGATCTAATTTTAGATTTATTGAATGTTCTTTACTTGAATTAGCAAAGGTCATTTTAATTAGTAGATGTCTTTATCAATTACATTCTAATTCAAGAATCACAAACATTATTGTTAAAAATCTTTTAACGAGAGTAATATGTATTTAATTTAATGATGACTTGATGATGACTTGATGATTTGGTATCAGTATTGAATTTGAGCTTAATGAAATTGTTGGTTTTTTTAATTTTTAGTTTCCCAAGTTTATAAAATGACGTGGATAAGTTAGTATTTTGTTGTAAAACCGTATTAAAAAGTGCATGAATTACTTACATATTCAATCCGTTCACTCGTTCGTTCTGATTTAATTTACCTACCAAGTTGATGCATTGCTTGTTCAGTTCATTGACCTTCATGCATAGACTATGCTTCATAGCTCTGCTCTATTTTGTGGTTTGACTATTAAATAATTTTGTTTGCTCGAAGTCTTCGTAGCAACAGTTTTATTGGTTGAAGGAAACGCGCATGCGAGTATCAAGTGCAAGAAAACGAAAGGAAGTTTTAACCGTCTATTACCAACGGTGTTAAATTTAGCAAAAAGTAATTAAAAGTTTATAAAATGAGCATTTATAGTAGCGATAATGACAGTGATAATATGGAAAATGTTGAAAAGAGAGATTTTTCTTCCGGGTCCAGTAGTGGAGAAGATATGGCAGATGAGGAGGTTCCGGAACATGGTAAAATATTTATAGCTTTTATCAATTATTTAAAAAACAAAGATACCACTATAAAAACTAATAAATGTTTTTTTTTAGTAGAAAATTCTCTATTTTCTTCAACAATATAAACCTTTTTATTTCTTGTATGTTATATAAAAATTGACAATATTACGTCAAACCTGTTAAATTGACATAATGTTATTTCAATAAGTTTCAAAATATTGTTACGTTTTATTGCAGTTATATCTAACGTAATTAAAATGGCTCAACCACAACCACTGCCGAGGAGAAAACGTTTCATCCCGAAATACGATGTGGAGGGCGTATTTCATGTGGTACTTGGAGAAGAGACTCAATTTCAAATTGAAATGGTAGTCGGTATGCATGTAAACGCACAATACCCTTGGAAATTAGTAATTAAAGATAAAATTATGGAATCTATTAATTTAGGAGGAGAACTTTCTGAATTTTTCCCACTCAAGAAGGAATTAGAAGCGTATAAAGATGATGAAGTATTAATGGGATATATAGCAGATGAATCAAAGGATGTCGATGAATTCTACGTTTGCTGTACACCAGAAGCGAGAGATCATTGTAAACAGCAGTCTGATAAATTTATAAGACGACAAGAGAAGAAATTAGAGAAAGCGATTCAGAAAAAACCTAAGCCGTGGATAGGTTTTGGAAGTGAAGCGGAGATTATCGAACTAGTTCCTGTTAATACTAGACCACTTTTTGAAATAGAAGTAAAGTCACAATATCTCATGAAATATCAACCAAGTCGTTTTAAAGTACGGGATACTAACTCAGTAAGAGATGGTTATACAGAACTAACACCATATAGACAGAAGTATACCAATGTTTTCTGTCGAAGAGTAGATTGTGGTATCCAAGCAGCATCGCAAAAGGTAGATAGAGAGGCTCAAACTTATTTAAGATATCCCCAAAATGTTTGGACACAAACAATGATCGATACTATTGGACGTGAGGACGATGCCGATGGCGGGGGAGATACTCTGAGGAAGGATGACTCCGAAGAAAGTAGCGATGAAGAAGATGATGCTGATATTAGACCTTCAAATGAGGCCGAGTTAGCAACTTATAATGCTGCTATGAAAAGAATGAGACGAGCGTCTTATATAAAATCGCTTGATAAATTTATGTCGGCAAGGGAACAAGAAATGGAATCTATACTCGAGTTAAATACAGTAATGGATATGTACTGTAATGATTACCCACAGTTAGTGACTGAAAAGACAGTGGACGTTTATAATTCAATGTCGTTTGAAGAATATGTTTGTTTTACAGATGTGCGAGCTAAAGATAAGTATATATCATCTGCTGTTTTTCATCCAATGTGGACCGGTATTGTTGCCATTAGCTATTCAGATGGAAATCCGACTATTATGAAAACTGTTAGTTCAAGATCGGATCCCATACAGAGAGCTATATACGGTTTAAATCCTGTAATGATATGGAGTCATATAGATAGTTTGCGACCGAAATTATATTTACAGTCACCGCGGGAAGTTAAAGTCCTTTCATTTTGTCCATTTAATGAGAATATACTAGTCGGTGGTTGTATTAATGGTCAAATTGTAGTATGGGATTTGACAAATAAATTGCTAAATGTCGAAACAATTCCTGTATTGAGTGAAACTAGGGAAAAATATCGTATTGCTATGAATGCGCATATGGATTGGATGAAAAATGTACAGGATAATGCAATCGTAGAGGCGACAGCTTTAAGTAATATACTCACAAGTCACTATGCTCCTGTTACTGCTATCAATTGGTTGTCACCAAATTTCGAAGTGACACCAACTGGTAAAGTTGTAATGGCTGAAGGCAGAAAATCTTTAATGCTATTTACGGGATCCGAAGACGGGAATATACTAATTTGGAACCTTTCCGTAGATAATGTTACTGCATTAGAAACGAAGAAAATTAAAAAGTCAAAGAGAGTACCAAAAAGACCCTCCGGTTTATTAGTTGACATTTCACCTTACAAAGTTTTAGATCGTAATTTGCAACCGTGTTTTAAAATTATATTAGGAAAAGTTGGACAGCCTCAAGCAATGCCAATACAAAGATTTGGAATAAAACCGCCATTGATAAAGTACATTTATGTACCAAGATATTTAGGTGATGGAAGAAAATATTTCGAACCTGAAATCGTACCACAAAATGAAGCCGATATATCAAAAATAATCTACAGCGGCTCGCAACATGGAGAATTAGCGAGAGTTTTGTGGGAAGGTCATGATTTTAATACGGGCGAGGTTGTTAATTCCGAATACTGTGAAATAACTTATAGTTGCTTTATTCATGATGGTATATTAACGAGCGTACAAATTAACCCCATGCTATCTAATCTGACATTAACTGTAGGTGGTAAGATTTTTGCAATATGGTCTAATGATTTAGTCGGTAGACCTTTATTTTGGAAGAAACGACCTTCTCGTTTGACAGATGGTGTTTGGTCTTTATATAAACCCAGTGTCATATTTATTGGAACCTCAGATGGCGATTTAGAAACATGGGACATTTTGTTAAGAAGTGACAAGCCCATTATAGTACAAACTTTGTCCGGTACGATGCTGACAGGCGTAAGCTTACATTCTCTACGTTTGACGAAAAATATAATCGGCGTCAGTGATTTAAATGGTTCATTTAGAACATTTCTCGATCCCCCAATTTTTATGCTTGAAAGTCAATCATACAAGATTCGAATGGAAACTATGATTAAAAGAGAAGTTAAGGTTATGCAATCTTTCGTTGCATGGCAAAAAGAATTGATTAATAGTAATCCGCAAATTTTGTTAGAAATTAAGCGTAAAGAAGGTGCGCTTTTAGCTGAAAAAGAAGAAGAGAAACGTAGACTTAAAGAAGAAGAAGACAGAAGATTGGAGGAAGAAGCGGAAGCTTTACGTCGCCATAAACTCAAAGTAATTGGTCCAGAAGAAAGATGGCAGATGATAATACAATCCTTAATAGAAAAGACAATCGCTATTAAAAAAAGAATCAATCGTGCAGAATTAATCGAACAAGAGAAACCATTAAGAGAACTAGAAACACAGAGATTAGAAAAAGAAAGGAGAATGCTTGAAATTATGAAGAATCAAAAGAGTATATTTAATGACACCGTTGCTATTCTTTTTCCTGAAGCTATCAAAAAAGAAGTTAAGCAAAAGAGAACTTTACTCTCTGTAGATAGGACAGATTTACAAAAAGACTACATTGAAGAATATCACCATTTAAAGGCTGCTTCTTATAAATTAGTGCATGAGAATCCTTTTAAGGTACCGTTTTCTTGGGAAGCAACGATAACTGAAGGTAAGGAAAGACGTCAAGCTTTGAATCCTTTCGATGATTATATAAAGATGCACAAAGCAAGAATTGAAGAAGAAGATAATCGAACATCGAGTCCTTCTAACAAAGATTCGTCGTATGTAGAAGCAGAAAGGGAGTTGGCAGAAGCAAGTGAAGAGCTTGAACCGTAAAGAAGTAAAACTTGTCTACAAATAGTTTTTATTCTTATTAATTCATTCAATAATACTGTTTATTTAAAAAAGGAAGCGTCAGTTCGTTTATTTTTTAGTATTAAAATATTTTTATACATTCACTTTTCTTTTAATTCCTACTTATGATGAGCTCTTTATACTTAAAAAAGATACAAAAGTATTGTCAATTTGTTCGTTTAATTTACAATTTGGCCTTATTTACTATTACTGAGCAAATATAACCCACGTGTTAGTTCCAGAGAGTTTAGTCGTTGCCTTACAATATTAATTTCAGAATTTATTCACAGACGAATAGAGACACTTATTCCTACAGAGGCGTTAGATGAATATTCTAAACGGTTAAGCCGTCAATTCACTTTGGAGACGTAAGATATGTCAGAATGTACGACCTACTGTTCTATGTAAATTCGATTTCTTTTTTGCGACCTTTGTCTTTTTACATAAAGTACAGAGGTCTAGCATATTAGCGCATCAGTTACGAGAACTATAACATCATCGATGTGTATGCGATTTGTAATTATGACGATGAAGTTACGAAAACTTTCTCACAAATTTACGTGATAGGATCTCTGTTTGAATCTAATACAGCAATTATAGTTGAGACATACGTTGATTTGTGAAACAGTAAATACTGTAATTCAGTTCGTTAAACAAGGGTATTTAATATTAACAGTCCATGCAAATTAAGTCCAGACTCTAACGTAATGAAATATGTATCAGTTTCACTGAATCTGTAGTTCAGAGTGTAGTCAATATGCATGTTAATGTGTTATTTATTCAGATATAGTTAGTTAGATCAAGTCATATTTACGAGGACTGCCGAACTTATTTGACAGTTACTAAGGACATCCTTTAGTGTAAACTTGAGGGATATTAAAGTTACCATCAAATGACTCAGTTACAGTTAACGCAAGTCTATTTAACTACCTTCCATTATTACTTCTATTTTATAGTCAATGGATTAACGAATTACGTTTTTTGCAGCTCCTCAAAAAGTCTATGTAATTTTCAGCAGCTCAAATTACTACGTTACTTGGATAACATTCATTAATTAGCTAATAAAATGTAATGAGCCGTAACGAAAACTTAATTTTTATGTAATAATCTGTAAAGATACATCAAAGTTACTCGTAACAATATTTGTCTAATATAAAAAGAAAAACGCGAGAAAAATAATTGAATTTAGAGTGAACGACGATCTACAGATCTACAGATGTTAATGAAATTGGAGTAACATATGTAAACTGTGTGTAATATGGAAAAATCATATTTCGTTGATGTATTTGCATTACTAGTAGTGAAAAAACATTTTTTAATACTGTTGTCTGTCTACGTAAGCCTCATTTGTTTTTGGTAATCTACAGACAACTGGACCGATTTTAATAGAAGGTAACTGAGGAATGATTGCAAATTATTTTCAAGATAATAAAAATCTCAACCTCTCGTAACTATTCAAACAGTACTGAATGTTACTTGTTATTATTATGTTACACTATATTTCTGTATAGGATGCTGTCGCAAACATTTTGCGTTTCCAATTTACACAGAGTCATGGCAACAAAGCTTTGTAACATACTATGTTTACTTTCACACCCTCCCCTTCCTCCGGGTCTCTATTGACATAGCGTGTATATCTAAATATAACGTCATAACAAATACGTTAATAATATGGAATGAAAGACAGAACATGTATGTTTTCTTTTAACATGAAACATGTTTACAAAAATATATTATCTTGCTTATACTCAAAAATAATGAGATAATAATGCTTCTGTGCGTTGGTTTATGTAAGAAAATGACAGTTTGCTATAAGTTTAATTATTTAAACTCTCAACAATTTTAAATTAATAAATAAAGTGTAAAGTCGAAATAATAAACTTGGTGAAATCCTCAAATCGATATTTTATTGTTCAAATAGAGTTAAAACGAAAATGAAAATGAACAGATACACTTTTTACGAGTAAAATCAAATGAATAAAACAATGGACATCTTTTATTATCTGTACCTGTGTAAAAAGTTCTACTGTCAAAGCCAAGTCGTAAAATGATATCAGAGATTGACCTTAAAACGAGATTTCCTTTTGAAACTACAAGCGGCTTACAGCAAAAAAGAAGCTTACTCAGTGACTTATATTCGCCAAAAATGTTAAGGTTTTGAAACATTGAATTGAAATGAAAATGTTAGAGTTTATCGAATGAAAATATTACGAAATTACGAAATTACGAATTACGAAAGTAAAATTTATTTACATCGGCGTTGAACCCTGAACTTTTAAATTACAAACCCACTGTATAGAGCGGGAGCACAACTATGACTAAACTATCGCACAATTAGTGTGCGATTGTCGATTGTTTCGCAGCCAATTCAACTGTTTAGTTGCACAACTGAAAATCAAGTAACCTCCATATAAGTTCATAGGAATCAAAGCGGGACTAAACAGTTCTGCGATAGTTTCAGGTATGCGAACGCTCTTAAACTACACTATACGTATGTTCTATATTTGATGTTTGTTGTGTATCGAAAGGTCCTTACAACTAAAGGTTTCGTTCTTGTAAATCAACTGGGTTGAAGGTTCTGGAATTAACATGTCATATTCAGGCCCTCTAAGACGCTGACTCAGATAGGCCCGCTTAATTAGTTTTACTATGGCTTCTATACAATTATTTAGATAGCGGTATAACGGCTTTAATCAACTCGTATTCTGGATGAAGAGCAATTTTCGCAATTACATTAATTGAATCTCTTTTTTTTTCAGTGGGAATTTCCACAGCTATTTTTTCTTGAACTAGATAGAAACCGTTGTCACTACCAGAATCATTTTATTAAACTGTTATTTTTCAAAGAAATTCAGTAAGTCAAAACATGTATTTCCTTACAAAAAACACTTAAAATATGATAACAAAGTTTGCAGGAAAGGTTTCTTAGAGATTAATTTAAAAAATACTGGCATATTAGATTATTTTAAAAAGATACATCCGATCTTTTAAAGATGGAAAGAAAACGACAAAACGGTACTGGGTTTATGGCCTTTTTTCATTCATTATCTCGAGTCTTAATTAGAACAAACTTTTATCATTAGCAACTCAGAAAAGGTCGTAGAATTGAATGAAAAAATAAACGTCTGACCTAAAAAAAAGGTTATAATGAAGATAAATTAAAACAGTTTATAATTTATTTAAATGTCTTAAAAATTCTAGTTAGTTTTTTTAAATATTTTTATACTAATAGTTATAAATTCATGAATATCGATCCCACAGTAAAAAGTAAAGTAATACATTTTCCAGAAAACTATGTATTTAAATTTAACACACTCAAAATGAAATCAACCTTAGGGGTGATTTACGTTACACTTTAATAAAACACTAACCTTTGCTCGCGATCTCGTCCGCTTAGAATTAAAAAAAGGGAGTACCAAACAACTAAACTGTATATGTAAGCAATTAGTATATAAAAAACTGTATTATGTTTTTTTATAACATTAAGATGTTTTATTTTATTTAAACATCTTACTAATGTTATTCTTACTTTTTACTAATATTATAAATGTGAAAGTTTAGGTGGAGGGATGGATGGATGTTTGTTAGAGTTTGTAGCATAAACGGATGAACGGATTTAGATGTAATTTGGCATAAATAGAATAAGAATAAGAATATCTTTATTGCTTACTCAGGTTAATAACATAAATCAGTGTTGCTTTGACGACTTAACTAGGATACCTGTTTTGAAGTAGCCAAGGATAATAGATGTAGCGGATAGTCTGGAAAAATACATAGGTAATTCACTTTTGTTGTTTTCAATTTCACGCGGACGGAGTCGCAGGCGAAAGCTAGTAGCTTATATTACTAAGTGATACGTATGTAGGTTTCTCATTATGAAAGAATGATAAAATACGGTCCAATAGTTTTATAGTTTTTTTGTTACATAGAAGAACATAGATTGTTGTCCTTGTCCTTTTTATTTGTTTAGAAAAGACAAGGACATTACAATAAAATAGTGAGAGGTCAAATTATTTCTAAACCAAATCCATTTACGAAGTTCTCTTGTTTTATTTTATCTACTCATTTGTCAGCTATCGGCAAAAAGTTCGGGTCTGGAATAAATTACGATCTCGCTGACGTGAACGAGTGGCATTACTGATGCGTTAGCGAAAATTCCCGCAAGAAATATGAGCTTAGCGTAAAGAGAAAAATTACACCCATTTGTTACAATATGGATATTTTGTACGACAAGATTGTTGGAAAAGCTATGATAATTTTGTAGACAAACTTTTTAATTTGTACATCATACTATCATACTAATATTATAAATGCGAAAGTTTAGATGGATGGATGGATTGATGTTTGTTAGAGTTTGTAGACTAAACGGCTGAACGGATTTCGATGAAATTTGGTATAAATGTAGAGGACAGTCAGGAAGAACAAATAGGCTACTCGCTTTTGTTTTTTTTTAATTCCACGCGGACAGAATCGCGGGCGAAAGCTAGTATAGACATATATGTAATTCGAATTTTGACATTCAACACTCATCAGACGAAACACGGAATTACTTCCATTTCACGCCTGTCTTCTGTGTGGTCGTGGTATTACACCGGGCGTGCCGGCCCATTCATGCTAAGATGTTAAAGCGGGCACTACCACTGTTGAAAGTGAGAAGACAAATCGTTTTTGTATGGACATGAGAACGGAACGTAAAGTTTGCTCTACTAAATTGAGTTCTGAGTTGTAATCTCTCTGCTAAACATTTGCTAGCAACAAATCAAAGCAATACAAGTCACACCATGTTTCGCTATGGTTTCGTTACGTTTCGTCTGTGAGCTACAGTGTTAAATCATCGTAAAAAGAATGCAGTGTGTTAAAAATATGGACAATCACAATTTTACTACAATAATACATGTAAAATTAAATGTTTTGTTTATTGTAGAAACAACCCTATTTCCTTGTATCTCTTTGTGACGTGAACAATACAGCCTTTGTGTACAATACGATTCGGGCCTTTGATCTCTGTTACCTTTGATTCAAACCAACTCTTGAATAAATTAAATTTATTTATAGGATAGATTAAACTTGTGGTTAAAAGGGATACGATGTTTAGACCGCCTTCAACAGCAATACCTTTGCATTACCTATTGCTTTGCAAGATGTTATAAATTATAAAATTATCGTACAATTTAGTGCATGGTTTTATAAAGTTTAAATGTACTAACTAAGACTAATGAGAGATTCGATTTGTATTCTTCCTTTGAGGTAAATCATAATTGGATGTTGCTTAGATGTTAGAAATAATGCAGATGACATTATAAATAGATATCTAAGATGTCGAAAAGCAGCCGTCGCGTCGCTTCACTGTTGTGGCAAAAAAGTATTAACAGTGGTAGTGTCCGCTTTAACATCTTAGCACGAATGGGCTGGCATGCCCGGTGTAATACCACGACCACACAGAAGACAGGCGTGAAATGGAACCAATGCCGTGTTTCGTCTAATGAGGGTTGTGCCAGTGGCCTAATTTAAGTCCCTTTCACTTTACCACCCTTTTCTTATGAGAGGAAGGGAAGGGGAAGTGGATTTGATGATGGAGGAGATGCATAGGAAGAGGAAATATCCTCTTTATGTGCGTCTCCTCCTCCGTCGGATAAGGGTAGGCGACTCATCTGCAATTGCAGATGTCCATGGGCAGCGGTCGCTTCGCCATTTTGGCGGATTTAGGTGGCCGCTTGCTCGTTTGCCATCTTATGTTATAAAAAAAAGTTTTTTTTTAAATAACCAAGTAATTTTATTTCGTTCAATAGCCTTTAGTAGACTGCGTTATATTCAAACTATACAAGACCTTTAAAAGAGCAATATAGTCTTGTGAGACAAAGGCGGTTAATGAATAATTAACAAAACGTAGCCCGGGGTCGTTGCGGGGTAAAGGTAAAGGTGAAAATTATTTTGTTCCTACTAATTGTATTTATATCTTGCTATTTGAAATAGGTCGTAAAAAGCATTAGAGAAGGCCTACGTCCAACAATGGTCAGATAAACGTTGATAATATACATAAGGATTCTCTAAACGACGTAAACATTCCGTAAAACAATAGTATAAAACCAGTATGTAATTTTTATTACATTTCATAGAGATGACTTAACTTCTGGTTGTGTTACTTAAGTAATCTTGGAGTTAATTATGCATTGAATGTGTTTAAATGTGTGTTTAATGATACCTTTTATAAATGACTGGCTGTCCCCGCCTGGCTTCATCCGCATGAAATTACGAAAATTTTATTTTATTGTTTGAATTTGTCAAATGATCAATTGCAAATATCAAAACGATATGACATGATGACACACCATGGCAACCTTGTTTACTTGATGTTGGCAGCTTCTAGTTTATGGTCCCTTTCCCACGTGAAGGTTTTTTCCCCAATTTATTTTTAATAGCGAAAATATGTACAAGTATACCCTACAGCGCGTAAGTGTAAGGCTTTTTATTGGAAGAATTATTTAAAAATTTTTCTTTGATTGCTGATATCCTACGCCACAAAGTAGTGTGTGTTTACGCTTTATTAAATTAAGTTGAGATATATATAGAAGTATAGATAGTTATCTGTTATGGAATATTGTTAGCAAGCACTATGTTGTAGAAATTGAATTACGGCAATATTCAAGGAAGGCAGGTAAACTTCCAGTTATATATTCGATATGTTGGCCGGATATTAAGCGGAAACTTCCAAACTATTTCAATAGGACGTAACAAATGCCATAGAAAAGAAAATTAAGGAAATGACTACATATAATTCTAATAGACAGCGATGTTTTTTTTTGAAGATGTTTGTGAAATTAGCAAAATTTAGTGTAGATTTGTGACTAAACTGATTACAGTCATTTGTTTTCTATGAATTTATTTTGGAGAGTTTCAGTATTCAAAATAACGATACTCGTGTCTGATTCTATCTTTTTTAAACTCCTTTGATTCTTAATATAGAATAGCTGAATTAAAAAAAAACAACCTTTTCATGAACTTTGCTTAAACATCTATATTTCCATAGATAAGAAAACAAAAGACAGTTTTTGCTCTCAATAAACGGCTTATTGTGTCCACTATGTGGATACTATAACCGTTTGTGTCATAAAACCGTCCGAAGCTTGTAACTAATGGACCGTATCAAAATAACAATGCTCTTAACGAAAACATTTCTCTTCAAGATGATTTATTTCTTAATGGTATATATCTTTATGTATGTTACATAATGTATTTTATTTGAAAAGGATATATTATTTCATGTCAATAGAACCATTTCTAACGTCGCTTCGAGGTCAATTTTAAATCATCGTACAGAATTGTTGGCGAGTTATCGTTTGAGTTCTTTTTCAAACAGTGATAAGGGCCTGTCCTACCAAATTGTAAATTGTCTGTTAAAAATCCAACTTGTTAAATGTGTGATGGAAATGTCTGTTTTTGTTACATTATCTGACAGTGACGACATTTTTAAGCCATCTGAGCCTTTGAGCCAGGGATGGCCCGGCCCTTAAGTATTTATGTGGTTCAAGTAAAATGCCTGTGTTTTTGCAACCCTATTTTCATATAACATTATTTGTCCATGGATCAACGCTACATAAACCTTTTATTCTAGCCGTAATTTTGTAGTAAACTTAAAAAAAATTAAGAAATCTAATGGTCACTTTGTTTAAATGTATGTTTTAGTTATTTATGGAAATGAAAGAGTAAAAATCCAATTTTCTTATATCGATAACTTTGATGCTAAAAGTAAAATATTCTCGAAGAAAATGTCTCAGGAACGCTTTGATTTTATCAGAACAAATATAATTTTCCGATGTCCGCTCGTACAATTTTTCGATTTCCTGTTAAGTGTTTTTCCATAAATAGATAACTTTGAAATATTGGGTAAGGTTAGCTGGAGTTTAATTTACACATAACAGTTAAATAAATGTAAGTAATCTAAAGTTATAGAAATAGTTCAATTAATTTCATTGCTACTACAAAATTATCAGGCGCTTGTTGATGTTCTTTTCTTATCTTTCTTGTATTAACTTCCTGTTTTCTTACAAATCTTACTTATATTATAAATGTAAAAGTTAAGATGGATGGATAGATGGTTGTTTGTTAAAGTTTGTAGCCTAAACGGATGAACGGATTTCGATGAAATTTGGCATCTAGAGGATAATCGATAAGAACATATAGGCTATTGACTTTTGTTTTTTTCAATACCACGCGGACGGAGTCGCAGGCGAAAGCTAGTATTTACATGATTTTCTATGAAAGCTAACCATAACTTATTTTTAAATATTACCATTGTAAATACAGTGATACATGAGATAATAAAACAACAATATTTGCAAAAACAGAATTTTATTTCCTTCTTTTTCAAAGAAAACGATACAAAATAAATTATACTTAAAGTTAAATTCGTTGGCACAATTTAACTAACCTACTTACATGATATAATTTCACAAAACATTTTTAACAAAAACATTTAGATAATGAACAAGGCACTTTACATTTAAAAGTATCATTAGTTCGTGACCCTTTGATAATAAGTATGATATTTTACATATTTATTACTAATATTAAGTGATTCAATACAAAAACTAACTAATAATTTACTGTACAGAGATATCTACACTAATACATTCATTATCAATAAACTATGACATTTAGAGCCTGTCCCACAATTGGCTGATAGAGGCTCAGATAGCTTGACGTCATTGTCATATAAAGTGACAAAATCCGATATTTCCATCATATCAGATTTACAATTTGGTGGGACAGGCCCTAATTCTATTCATAAAAGTTATCTAAGGAAAAGTTTTTGGTAAGAAAGTAGGACTAGATTTATTCCGATTTAATCTTTTTAATTTCTAGAAGTTTCAATGTATGCAAGCACCAGAACATGGCGGATATCACGTAGAAGAATTGAAGAGTTGCTCCTAAACCTGGGTTAGTGGAGCTGAGGCTTCTTGTGAAGAAAGCCAGAGCTGAACATCTTAGTGCTTCTAGAATCGGTGCGTATTTAGAGTTGTCGAAGACCATACCAATAATGGTTAGAGATGCGATAATATAGAAGACGAATATTAATACAGATATCGGAGTCATACCCTGGAACAAAATCGTATTATAATTATAAATGCGAAAGTTTAGATACTTGTTGGAGGTTACTTTTTTTATAAGAGAAGGGGGCAAATGAGTGGAGTTTGTAGCCTGAACTGCTAAACTGATTTCGATAAAAGATGTTGATAGTCTGGAAGAACACTGGCTACTTCCTTTTGTTTTTTACTTCCACACGGATGGAATCGCGGGCGAAAGCTAGTGATAAAATATGAAGTTTGTAAATAAGGTTACCTGTATATTATTTTAATTTGCTCTTCCGACAGTTAAAATTCATAGTTACTTATTCAATGTAATTAATAAGTAAAATCAATAAATGTAATTTTAAATTAAGGTGGTTTTGGATTTTGATATAAAAAATTCGATAAGAGCTTTATAACACGTGTTCAAATTAAGATTCTCATATCATTTACCGCAGTCGATAAACGTATCTCGTACATTCTAGTAAGTTGTATAAACACATTTTGAATGTAAACATAATTCGATTTATAAAAACTATCAGGAAGGTCACAGTCCAATGTTTATCGAACATAATATTTTTGTAAAATGAGTTAGAAAAAACGATAACATAAATCTTGTGAAACATTTGTAAAAATGTTATATGTTACTTACCATATATCTGTCTGTGAGATCAAAGAAGCCGTAGAAGACGACGGCGTAGTGCGCGACGAGGTACAAGTTGCACCAAAAAGGTAAATGCACGTCGTATTTATCTCTGGATAAAATCTGCAACAAAAGGGAAAATTTTATAAGATAATGTAACAGCGAATAAGTCTAAACTAACGTTATAAAAAGGAAAGATTTGTATTTTTGCATGTATTGAAATAACTCAATAACTACGGGAGCGGTTTTAAAAAATTTTTCACCGTCAGAAAGATAATTGTAAGTAGCATAGGCTATATGTTTTAATTTCTCGCGGGCGAAATTGCGAACTACAGCTAGTTACTAATAAGGCCAATCGCTAAATTGTAACTAGCTTCTGTCCGCGACTACGTCCGCTTTGGATTAAAAAAATAATAGAAAATAACCAACATAGCTGTAGGATAAAGAGGTCAAATATGTATGTCGATACGAAGTTTAAATATGTTTTCTTTTAATTTATTTTCGAATTTTACATAAGAAGTTTTAGGTTGAGTGCGAAGAAAAAAAAAAGTAGATGTATGAAGGTTTGTTTTTTGGAAAAGGGTGTAAATATTAAAAATAGCGATAAATAAAGAGTTTATTTTATTAAGAGCCACAACCCCACATATATTATTCACAGATAGATTACCTCTCTAATGGTATAAGAATTTTTAAAATTGGCTTCATAATTTTTGAGTTATTTTCAACGTATACAAAAATGAAATCTTTCTTTATAATGGTATGGAATAATCAACTAGTCAATACTAATTAATAACTAAGTAACTTCAATTAATTAATCATAATATCTACGCAACTAATGAAGGATCTTACTAATATTATAAATGCGAAAGTTTAGATGGATGGATGGATGGATGGATGTTTGTTAGCGTTTGTAGCCTAAACGGCTGAACGGATCTCCATGAAATTTGGCACAGGTTTAGAGCATAGTCTGAAAGAACACATGACTACTTTTTATCCCGGGAATAGTTACGGTTCCCGTGAGATTCATTAATTTAGTTTTCTAATGTTTACTCGATCATTCTGCAACGGTTCTACGTATCTTATTGAAATTTGGTACAGATATAAAACAAAGTCTGGAGTACACATGGGATAAGCTTCATCCCCGAGATATGTCCGGTTCCCGAGGGATATGTAGTTTTTTGTAATTTTTATAGTTTGTATGTTTTCTATTACCACGCGTACGAAGTCGCGGGCAACAGCTCGTATAAGAATATGTTCTCTCAATGTCGTGAAATAGAATTACTTAATGCCTTTGATCGGTTTATCTTGTATTAATAGTATTGGTTATTTTTACAATTTTGTCCTCAAAAGGTGGTCAAGGTCGACTTGCTCCTTTTAAAGAGCTAATAAACCGGGCGTCGGTTGCGTCGTACTCTTATAACTAGTTTAATAGTATTTTAACAAACTAGTTTCAGTACTTTAACACCTGTTTTAAAAATAACTATCTGGTCTTGTTAGTTATAAGTACATTTTACTATTTCGCCTATTTAGACTTTTAAATGTGTTTGTGTTAAATGTTTTTGATATATGATAATGGAAATATAATAAAATATTAGATTTGATATTGCGCCTTTTAATTTATGTATAGCAATAATGTATATCTATACTAATAATATAAAGAGGAAAGATTTGCATTTTTGTATGTATTGAAATAATTCAACAACTAGGCCGTTTTCAATTCTTCCACTATTAAAAAGCTGTGATATCAGTGAGTAAAAGGCTATATTTTGTATTTTTTTTTATAATTTTTTATAAAGTCAGCAATAACTAGTAAGTAATAATGAACTCATAGTTTGCGATAAAACATTCATCACGTGTTATCTTATATCGTTACTAGCATATGTCCGCGACTCCGTCCGCGTGGAATTTACAGAAAAAAAACAAAAGTATCCTATGCGTTCTTCTAAATTATCAACATCTATGCCTTTCATCGAGGTCCGTTTAGGCTACAAACTCTAACAAACATCTATCTAAACTTTCGCATTTATAATATTAGTAAGCTATACTTTTTAAATTGCATTGTAATTGGTAGAAGGTTTTAACCGTAATGGGGTATACAATAATAGGAAAAGTTATGATAATGTATTGTACATATATTGTAAAGAAACATTTGTATAAGGAATTAAATAAAGCTAAATTAATGGCTATAAAGGAAGACCGAAGAAAGTACGGATGGATTGCGTGAAAGAGGATATGCTTAAGAAAGGAGTGGATTCAGATATGACGGCTGGCAGAGATGTGAAGAGCAGCACATACTGTGCCGACCCTATAAGGGATAAGTTCAAGTTGAAGATTAATTAAACAAAGCTAAGTAAATATGTTTTAATAATAAAAATACTTACTTCAAGTTTATCATCTTCAGCACCAAGTCTGGGAGTACCAGGCTCCCAGCTCGGGCCCCAGAATATCGCTCGCAGTTTATCTCCGACTGAGGTGAAACGTTGGAATTTCTCCACAACGTATCCTGTGTAGAAAGTCTATAACAAACGTAATCCAATGAATAAGCAAACTCCAACTTCAAAGACTGGACGAAATCGCAGTGAGGCGTGCTAATAGAAATCCCAATTTAAAACGTATCTAGAGATTAAGCTATTTCCAGGATTACGTTCTAAATATTTATAACATTTCTACTGTTACTCTAATATTGTACATTTCATTTTAAAAATAAAACATTTCAAATTTAAAACAGTGCTAATTTCTCTTCTAAACTCATATTTTTTACTATATATAGCATTCAAATCACATTAACTGTATTGTAATCGATCGTTGTAATTGATTAACGGCCGGTTTCCCATTTACGTTTAACAATCCGTTAGTGTTTTTGATTAATAAATTAAAGAAATGCGTTTTCGAACTTAACTTGAATTAGAATCCGTTGAAACATAGGTCAGTCTAACATTAATGAATCGCTAAGTAATGACAAAATAAATAGAAACTTCAGAAACCCAGCATAAATTACAAATAATCTTTTATTAACTACTTTAGTAGCTTTACGTTAAAATCAACTTTTAATATTACCTGTAAGTACAAGGGGTTGAATGAAGGCTGGTTATAAATGAGTCCATATACGATTTCCATCTTTTCGATCTCGGGTTTGAAAGTTCCAAAGATTCTGTCCCAAATGATAAGTACACCGCCGTAGTTCACATCCAAACAGTATTTGTTACTACCTGTAAAAATAAGTTTATATTAAACAGTTATTTGTTTTTAGCATCTAAAAAAATAACTAAATCTACATTAAAACCTAGTTTCTAATTAAATAATAAGATTTTTTGGTACAGTAATGTTAATTTATGACAACGCCATCTAGTGTTCAACAGAAGGAATAAAATTCCTATTTGTACGAATGAAAGCATTGTCCACGAGGCTGGCTATATACTGGCTATTTAACGATAGAATACTGATTCTAATAATAACATAATAATCATTCAATCTCTTCAAAACATTACAAAACTTATAAACAATAGAAAACACTGAAATACAAATTTAAAATTTTACCAATGAAAATTAAAACTAGAACAAAATAATATATGACACCAAAAAAATAAATAAAACCTCAAATCTATGTAAACATTGTAATGCAGAACAGATGGGTTTTTCTTCAGCTATATGTTCTCTATATATTATCAAAACCGTGATATTAGAATTCCCACTCAACGTATCTGATCCATAAATATGTTACAGGAAGTAGGCGGCGTACATGGCCAAAAAAAAAGAAAAAGAAAAAAAAACATCAACATTTAATTTCAGTAATATCTTACCATGATGTACTCTGTGATGACTGGGAGTGTTCAGGATGTACTCCAGCGGGCCGAGGCTCTTGATGGCCTCCGTATGTATCCAGAACATGTACAAGTAGCTGAACTGGTGATGCATCACGAACTGCGCCGGCGGTATGGCCAGCGCCAGCGGCAGATAGAATATCTAGAAAAAAATTATACTCAATACCAAAATTAAAAAGTACAATTATAGAGCGGGCACTTGACTAAACTTTTGCACGCGACTGTAGATCGTCGATTGTTTCGCAGCCAAATCATTTTTTTTAATAATATAAGGCGGCAAACGACAAGCGGCCACCTGAACCCACCGAAATAGAAAGCGACCGCTGCACATTGACATCCGCAATTGCAGCGTTGCCTACCCTTCATTAACGGAGAAGGAGACGTACATTAAGAGGATACTTCCTCTTTCTATGCGTCTCCTCCACCGTAAAATCCACGTTCCCTTTTCATACTATTCTTTTGAGAAAAAGAGTGGGAAGGAAAACGGACTAAAGTCAGACGAAACTCGGAATTGCTTCCATTTTACCCTGTCTTCTGTGTGGTCGTGGTATTACACCGGGCGAGCCGGCCTATTCGTGCGAAGATGTTAAAGCGGGCTCTACCACTGTAAAGCATATAAGCTCGGAGTCAAAGCGAGATAACAGTTGTGCGATAGTTCAGTCAAAGGTGTGCGTGCGCTCTTTATATTAACGCTATAGTTATAAAATTAAAAACATCGTAGCGTTAGTCAACTATTTTTAAAGCGATACGATCAGTGTTATATGTTCCTTTATTACTTACAAATCCACACCAGCCTTGCATGACAGACTGCCGTATTCCAACGCCCATGTTGAAGTCTTCAGATGTGTGGTGCACTTGATGCTGGGCCCAAAGGATGTGGATCTCTGTGAACATAACCTCTTATTATGACCTCTATATATGTTAAATGCTTTATCTGACGCTAGGAGGTTAAGGGCCTGTCCCACCAAATTGTAAATTGTCTGATAACAATCCAACGTGTAAAATATGTCATGGAAATATTGGATTTTGTTATGTTATCTGAAAGTGAAGTCGTTTTAAGCTATCTGAGCCTCTATCAGCTAGTGGTGGGACAGGCCCTATAGACATTAAAATTGCTTTAAATCTACTACAATCAAACCCTCTCTCGTTTTCACTTTCCGCGCTTCTCTTGTTTTTCACTGTAACTTTTTTTACAATAAAAAGGGAAAAAGTCTTAGTGGCCAGTATGCCACCTCTGGCTGTATACGAATTCTTTGTCAGTTTGAATTTTAGTTATTGTCCGAAGTAACTAAAAAATCGTTTATATTTGAGTGCAGTTAAGAGGAGTATTTCTATGTATTAAAAATGCATTTACCATGACAAGCTCTGTGCATCCAGTAATAACAGAAGTCGACTCCAATAGCGGCCGCGTACCACGTTATTGTGTGGTCCCATGGCAACTCTACTATCCTAAAGTTAGTGTAAATCCAAGTGTATAGGTAGGATTCCGCACCTCGCCATACTAATCTAAAAAGAAAATTAATTAATTAGTTAAACATTTAAGAACTAATTGAAGAATTAAAAGCAATTAAATTATGAATTAACCAGTGAATCCTAACCGTTCCATCTTTACGATGTAAATTTGTTAATACAAGAATCTTCTTAAGAAGATAATATTTTCAATTATTTATTAACAAATCCGTATGTTTGCAGCTTATAAATTAATAACACATATATTTATAGTTCTTGTTAATAAATTTAAACATGTATCTGTGTTATTACTTAGCAACAGTTTTAATTAATTGTTTTAAGACTGTTTATGGTTTGCAAAATAGAATAAAAGGGATTATTTTTTATCTTTTAGTTTCTGTGTATTAAAAATTAAATGTCCTTTAGTTGAAGAAGTATTGAGAACATATAAATATTAAACCAAATGAAATAAAACTTTAAAGGTCAAACAAGGACTAAAGTAGCTTTAAAGATAAAAATTAATGAATTAGTAGTGTGATATTTTCATTTATGTATCGAAGTTTATTACCTTTTGTATTTAAAAATGATTTTACAATTATCTTGTATTTCAAAATGTATAATTAAAAGATCAAAATAAAGATAAACAAATAAAATACACTCATACGAGACTGATAACACTAGAAAATAAGCAAATATGTGTTTGCCAGGATGGTGTTCAATAGAAATTTGTTATCTCTGTCTTAAGGAATAAGGTCGAGATTACTTTAATATTTACCTGCCACATTCTTGGAAGACGCCGTGAGAGATGCTTGTTATGCCATCATTGAGACGTATTCCTTTATGACCCTTTAATCTTAAAACGATGTGCTCCAGGACCATGAAGATTAAGAAATAAGGCCATGACTGTAACAAAAAAAAAACACAATTTAAATCTGAGTGTAATATACGGCAACAAATGTATTGTGATTCTGGAAATTTGTTTAAAAAATAATATATCTACTTAATAAATGTAACCTAGATTAATATTATAAAGAGAAAATTTGTATTTATTGAAATAACTCAAAAACTACTAGGCCGATTTAAAAAAATCTTTCACCATTAAAAAGCTACTTTTTAAAATCGGATTTTTTATAATTTTTTATTTTACGCGGACGAAGTCGCGAGCAACAGCTAGTTAAAATTTAAATTGTAAAAATTTTATCTTTTATTTAATTCTATATATGCTTATCTCATGAAACCAACAGCCTCAATGCATTATATTAATAAATGACACAGTTTTTTGTAGATAATGTTCTGGTAAACATTTGTACAAGGTCATATTTTATCTAATTATTGTACGTTCGTATGCACAATTAAGTAAGCATATCGCGACGTCATTGTAACGTCATAGTCCTGTAAAACAATATTGTATTTTGCATCCAAAATATCAAACTATTCTAATCCAAGGAACCTTACAATAATGAGCATAGAGACTTGAAATTATGCACATAGATATGATCAAATGCCATTTTTAAAATAGATCTTTAAGATAGAATGGATAAATAGCATGTGGTATTCTTTAGAAATGATGGTACCGTGTAATTGCTAAGACTTCATTGTAGACACAAACTAAAATGACTAGGTTTTACATTACATCTAACACATTTTTGTAGGCGAAGCGAGAGTCGACATTTTTATATATTACATTTTACATGGGATTTGAGGTTTTTTGTTTAATTTTTGATGCAAACGAAGTCGCGGGGACAATGTTTTTATTTTTACTATACATTTATAATACTACGAGTAATTTGCAACTTTGTAAGTGTCCTTTCTTGACATTGAACTTTGTAAGCCGTAAAATTTATTACTATACATTTTTCATTATGATTTTCAAACTGGTATATAAAAGTCGTTTAAACATTGAATAGTAACATTTTAAACTATTTTAAACTTGACATTCATTCAGGACTTCGTCACAGTTCACTTCCCACCGTAACACTCCCGGGTCGTAACTAACTACCGATTTAGTCCGAATTTCGATCTTCTCTTCGTTATTCTTTTGTTATTTTGAACATTCTCGATTGTTCGAATCACATACATTTTCCAATAGAAAATTCCCGATGCTTCGAATATTCCAGACATATTTTTGGGAATCGATTAACGGTACTCGCCACCAGATGGAATATTCTGGAAACAGCACGATTATTCCACGAACATGAATTCCGCTACTCTTCAATAGATGAGATCGCCACAATAATGTTGTGCAGAGAGGCAATTAGGTAAAATACTTTAAGGGGTTATAATCTGTTACTTTTTTAGTCTGTACCATTATTTAATTGTGAGAAAAATATTTGCTTCGGGGTACTTTAGTATCGTTGCCTTTGAGTGTACAACAGTCGTTATTCCTATGACTCCTTTTTCACTAACGCGATGAACGCGGGAGACTACTATACTTCAGAGCAATGTTTGTTCTATTTCAACAAAAATCGCCAGTTATGCGCAGCAATTGTAGTGGAAAAACGGTCTAACGGTATGAAGTTTATTTAAAAATAGAAATAAAATAAACAGAAGCTGAAGAAATAAGTACATTCTTCGAGTTTATTTCAAAGATAAACAAAGAGAAATAGAATTGTGGAATTCGCAGCAATTTAACATTTGAACAAGTCAACTTTCTTTTTAACAAACTAAAAGTTGTATTAAATTCTAGATTACTAAGAAAAAGTTACAGAATGTTGCAAAAGATTTTATGCTACGATGAAATTTACAATCGCACTTATTAAATGGCCAATATTTAGTAACAATAAAACGTTTCACTACCGTTCGTAACATTCTAATTTAAATATTGATTACTATACATTTAACTGTAATGAAAATATATTGTGTTAACAGTTAATTTTCAAGTCCGCGTGGCTTTATTGCTAAACCACGGTTATTCTATACCTCCCATGTGTCGCAATGCTTGCACTATCCGGTGTACAAATGCGGTGTAATTTGATAACGCTGTCCGAGTATCATTGCTTCATTTCATTTACAGATAGCTTCTATAATGTAGTCCTATATGTTGACGGGTTCGTTTAAACACACAGAAGATAAGCGTAAAATGGAAGCAATTCTGTGTGTCGTCTGATGAGTGCGGTGCCATGCCGGAGGCCTAATTTAAGTCCCTTTCTCTTTACCACAATTTTCTTATAAGGAGAGGATAGGAAGGGGAAGTGGATTTCACGGAGGAGGGAAGCATAGGAAGGGGAAGTGTCCTATTTATGTGCGTCTTCTCCTTCGTCGGATAAGGGTAGGCAACGCATCTGCAATTGCGGATGTCTATGGACAGCGGTCGCTTCGCCATTTTGGCGGATTCAGGTGGCCAGTTGCTTGTTTCCCACCTTATGTTATAAAAAAATCTGATAAAGATATTTTCCTATGTCTGTTACTTTAAATTCTAACAAAGTCAAAAACTGAAATGTGATAAATTCCGAATCCCTAACAATCTAATTTTAATTGAAATAAAAAAAATCAAATGAAACGTTCGTGAAATGTAAAATGTGTCAGAAACTTTTTCGTATTACTTTTTACATTTTATTATGAATCGTAAAAAGGAATCTCATCAATGGAAACCCACGGTCAAATAACGAACTGGATATTTTGTCATTAATAATTAAGAAATAATTAAATTAAATGCAAGAACATCTGACTGGAATAAACACAAGAGCTTATGATTTTATACGGTTTTTACAATTCCCTGAGTGATTCATGATATGGTTATCCATAAAAGAAAACTACAAACAATTATATGTTGGCGGTAATACTAGACAGAAGCTTCGGGACGAGGTTATGCAGGAAAAAACAATTGAATTCATAATTTATTTTTTGCTTTAATAATCCTACTAATAACGTTTTTAGTTTAAACGTAGTTCAATTTCACGCGGACGAAGTTTCGAGCAACAGCTAGTTGGTGATAAAAATGGATACTCGTGTAAAATGTAAATCGTCTAGTGTTGTATAATTTACGTTGTTTATTATAATTCGCTTGCGTAATGAACTCTGAAGCGGTTATTGGCACCAATTAAAGTAATATTATTACTGACTTAGGATAACCTAAGCTTACAATGTAACGGCCATTATAAGGCTTCCGTAACTGGAACATATTAGAGATTTAATTTATTAAATTAAATAAAATTTATTGGATTACAACGACCGGTGGTCATAGTCGGAATTGGCATAGAAAATAGCGTAAAAACAAGCAGACACAGTACAAGGATTTTGTGACACTTTTTTGACATAAAGTTTGATTAAATCACCGGGTCGAATAATTTGGTCCGACTATAATTGAAAAAAAAAAAATGGAATGCGCAATTATATTAATGAAATGTGGAGTAGATAACAATAAAAGTACAATTATTAATAAGGTTATGCATTACTTAACAGACAAATTAAATCTAGTAATAGCCACACTAAGGGACTATTTAAGTAATCAATTGAGACTATGAGTGCGGTAGTCATTCAAAAATTACATAAAAAAAGATAAAAGGAAAATTCTCCAGATCGTAGTATCACGTTTTTGTATTAAGGGGTCAATGGCCTTACGAGAATTGTTTTTTCAAATTATGTCGTTGGACCTGTTTCTATTGAGGTATTTAAAAATTAATGTAAACCTATCGCGTGAATCGAATACGTTGAAAACGTGACTTACGGCAATGAACTTTAAAAAAAATCACGGCTACCGAGTTCTGCAATACGTTAATTGAATATTACGAAAACAAATTTGTTTTTAATTTATGTATGTATTTTGAAAAGCAAGGACGTATTTGTTAATCAGACATGAACCATTTTAATCGAATTTGTCATTTTTTTTTATTATTTACAACCAGTACTATGACTTGCGTTAATATTAGCGAAAAAAATTGTCATTTTTTGTCTTTGCTTACGTGTGTCGTAAAAAATGTTTTCGTTATTGTCTATCGACATTTTTTGTCAACTGATAATTAAAAAAATCAAACATATGCAATGATTAAGTTTTTTTTTTATTTTTTGTGTTGTATTCATTAAGCAGTTTCGTATATTAAAAAGTTATAGAACGAGATAGTAATTCAAGGTCAGGGTATAGTTCTTTAAAATGTGTCAATTTAAGATACAATTAATTAGAAAATGGACTGATTTATAGATGATTTTTTTCTTAATATTATTATAAATAAAAAATCTTAACACAAAAAGAGGTTATCGATTTTTGATAACAAAGCAATGTTTTCAAGATATAGTGTGTTAAAATGTTTACTTTATTCTAGATTTGAAGTGAAGAAAATCATGTTGAAACAGTCCACTCAAGTAAATTCACATTTTATTATAGTCTGTGAGCTAATACAACAAGCATGTAGTTAATACAAGCCAGTTAAAAATAATGACTTCATTATATTCAACGAAACACAGTTTACTAGGTCATTGGTTAAACATTTTGCTTAACCCAGGAAAGAAACATTCGATAAGGTTATATTCCGTCAACACGATAATTATCTTGTTACATAGTAACTGTTACTATGTAAAATTCCATACTAATTAATGGAAATTTTCAAAATATTGAAATGTAGTTTTCACTGTTCAACAGTTGTTCAAATCATCTTTTGCAAAACAAAGTTAACAATACGTTTTAATAAAGACATTTTCTTGAATGTTAAGTACAAGCTTTTGCGTTTCTCTCTCTCCGGATCGTTTCCTCATTCCTGAGGGTCGCGACCACTCTCCTTGACACTCTCTCGAAGGGTGTTTATCCACTCTGTGCGATTCTCTGCGACATGTATAGCGTTATGTATATTCCATGTTAAATTTTCATAAACAAATAAATTCAGCACACATAAAGGTCCTTATTTAAAAAAAAAACATACAAATACATCTTAATTTAAATATTTTTTTATTAAATGTAGGTTTTGAAAATGTAATATTGAATAATAATTAATAAAAATAAATACCCGTCTGTGTTTGTCAAAAAGTTAGAATAACGGCCAAATACTGAAACGACATTTAAATATATAACTACATCATAAAAAAGGCAAAATTTAAACTCCAAATTCCTTACAAATGTCGTGTTTTAAGCGGCGCCTATTTTCGGCCTGGAGTTAGGGAGATGAATAAAAAGATAACTAACATGGAATAAATCGTTTAATTCTCAACAATTGCGTTTCAGTATTTTTTCTTTGTTTGACTAATGCTGGATTTCTATTTCTACATATTTTGACATTACCTAGCTATTACATTAGTGTTAGTTTGACCTACGTTTTAACGGAGTGAAACTCAACACAGGCAGTTCGGAAACGCATTTCTTGAATTTATCGAACTGAAAACACTAACGAATTGTTATATAGTTCCGAAACTTGCCATAAATCGCTTTAACTATTTCTTTCTGTGATACAGAAAATGTACATACCTGTCTGAAAAAGTTAGGCACATCTTCCTGTCGCTCGAACATCGTGTCTTTGGGAGAATGAATGTAGAATAATCTTCCAACACCTTTCAAATGACTGTTCACCATCTGCGACAAGCCATTGTCCAATGTGGCATTGGCATAAGATATATCCGCAGCCATATTGACACTTTAGGAATTCTGAAACAAACAAAAGCTTCAATTAAAAACGCATCAAATTATTTTAAGTTAAAAGCAACGCGTGTGAACTTATTATTACTTATTCCAAAATGCTTAACAATACTTTTAAATGTACTAGCTTTCGCACGCGACTCCAAACTCGTAGAATTAAAAAAAAACACAAAAGAGAGAAGGTTATGTGTTCTTCCATACTATCGACTACATCTTTGCCAAATTTCATCGAGATCCGTTCATCAGTATAGGCTACAAACTCTAACAAAAATTGATCCATCCATCTAAACTTTCGCATTTATAATATTAGTAAGATTAGAAGATAAGAAGTAAAGCTAATTGACTAAAAGCGTTGAACGCACATTAGGAATTTATCTAAACGAGCAAAAACAAGAAAATTAAATTAGAAATTCAAATACTAGTCTATTTATTCACAGGACAACTCTTTACTCGTAAACCTCTCCTTTTTGAATAGCAAATTAGATAAACCGAACACGACTTAATAACTTTTGCTCTATTCAGAATAAATTTACATTTATACATTGGTCTAAAGCTCTAGAGTAAACGGCGTTAGATTCTCAACTTCAGAAAGAAACTTTTATTAAGTTAAAAGTTTTATTTCTTGAAATAACTACGTTATGATATTAAATCGAAGAACAAAGTTAGAGTAAACGGTGTATTTACAATTCAAACGTTCGTAGAAATCGACAAATTGTAATAATAAAATGAAACTAAATTCAACAATGTACCGAATAAACTTTCATGAACTAAAAGTAATTCAAATTATAGATTCATTCAACTGATTTTCGATGATTAGGAGAAAAAATAAATCACTTTTTAATATCTTTCATAAAAACTGTTCACTTACCACGCATTAAATATATTTTTTAATGTTTGAATTTATCATTTCTATGAATCTTCGTGTATGAAATATTAAAACTCAATATCCTCTACAGTATCTTTAGAAATAAATATAATTATTGCAAAACGTAAGTACAATCGGGGAATTTATTCTTCTAATTGTAACATTGAACGCATAGAAACGACAACTCTACAATAACCAACAGAACGCTGCTTTAGTGTATGTACGAAAAATGTTGGTCAGTGGTACTAATTGCCTTTTATTATGATACCGTTGTTTACGCAGTACTATGTAATTGGATATTCGTAAGACGGAGTTTGTCTCATTGCAATGATCAAGGTAATATTGCAAGTCAAACACCGCGGGTTTCCGCAACTGTACACAATCCCGGAGGCAAGATAGCACTTCCCAGTTATCATGTTTGACCCGTGTATGTTATTGAAAGACGATTTAATTGTCATCCGTAGTTTTTATGTAACGTGATTACTTTGTTACAATTATTATTTAACGTTTATTAAGTGACCCTGATAAAATAAAACTCATAATTAGATTCTATGTTAAAACAGACACATTTTTAGTAGCAGTCCAATATCTTATTAATATTACAAATGAGAAAGATTGGATAGATGTTTGTTAGAGTTTATAAAACTCGAAGATGTTTGGAATTGATAACCGAGATCATAGTCTGGAAGAAAACATAGGCTACTTGCTTTTGTTTTTTATACACGCGGACGTAGTCATGGACGAAAGCAAACTGAAGTTATATTATTATACAGAGTGATTCTTAACGGACGGATAAACGGCTTTGTGGAGTTAGAGGACCTCAATAGCTATCGTTTAAGCGCAAAGTATGTTGCTCGCTTTTCTACAGTTTTAAAGTTATTAGATAGCTATTGAGGTCCTCTAACTCCACAAAGCCGTTGTTGCGTCCGTTAAGAATCACCCTGTATAATTGTTTCATTAGTAATTCAACTGTACACGATCAAGGGCGTGGGATATTCAAGTTTACACAACTATCCCATTTATTTCTTGACAACTATCTAAAACATGAAACATGGAAATTTCCATTACACTCGCCTTAGGATGTGGCCTTATATTTGTATATTTTCTTTTCAACAAACTCGTATTCGAATATATATACTAAGTCAGTTCCTACGAAACATCTGTTTAGATGTTGGAAGTCAACATAACGCTAGTAACCTCAACGGGTAAGCAGATTTACGGATTTGACGCGCATCTTTTTTCTCTTGTCTACATTTGTACGTCTACATAAGATCAGATATAATCTTACTAAATGTATATTTTTACTACAAACGTATCTATACGTATTTTATCTTTAATTCAATGAAATATCGTAGAAAGGACATATGTTAACTTATTCAAATATGAGGAACAATAGAATACAATTTATTTACAAATATTATGCTGTCCTTATCAGTATGCCTCGAGGGTTTTCATATAGTTATATTGTTTGCAGTAACACTATTGTTTAACTTTAATATTTACACTATTCATATTGACACTGTATAAGAAACGTTATTTTAATATGATAACAATATTAACTAAGATATGGTTGAAACTTATTTTTAATTTCTTGTAAGCAAAAATGGCAACAATGCTGGAGGCCCGGTTTTAATCCCCTTTCCCTTCCCACTTATTTCTTATAAGAATGGATGGGCATTGAAAGTGAATTAGACAAATAAACTCTTAATGTATGTCTCATCCTCCGTCAATTGAAGGTGGTAGAACGCATCTGCAATTACGGATGTCTTTTTTTTTTTTTTTTTTTTTTTTTT